TAAAAACACATTTTTGTATGCACTTTGAAATTATGTACACATTTTAAAAAGTAATTTCCTCCAATAAAAGGCATTTTTGTATGTTATTTTAACTAATACATTATCTTTATGCACACTGTCAAGGCTGCCTCAAGTCTCAGCTCACAAAAGACCAACGCCTATGTCTTCTTATATACAAAGGTGTTTATTGCAGTTCATTGTTTGCTTGACATCCTAGGCGCGCAGCCTTACGTCTCTTACGCTTAGACCGCTGAAGTCCCCTCTGAATCCGTCCCTCCCCTGCACCAATTTAAGAGGCTTGTGCTGCTCCACCTCTTTCTCTCCTTCCTTTTCCGCAGGGTCCTTCTGCCCGCTGGGGTTTCGCCCCTCCTGGATTCCTCTGACGCGGAATCAGACTGCTCTTCCCCCCTCCTGCGGGCTTTGGGACCTGGCCCCTCCTCCGGGCTCCCTGTACTTCCGCGCGCCTCTACATTTGAACTAGGCGCGTGCGCCAAACCTCTAACTTTCCTTTTGACAGTTACACTACTCCCTTCACTGCTCCCCTCCCCTTCCGGGAGGGCGGCTTGCTCTGACCTCCCTCCTTTCTCTGCTGCCGGAGCTGCTTCCTCTGACACACTGGAAACTCCACCCCTTTCGCTGCACTCTGGTGGGGAGGCTGGTCCTGACGCCCAGCTGCCACTTTGGGATCCTCCGCTGGCCCCCTGCTCCTGACACGTCCCCCCTGGGGCTTCCCTGGCCTTGACCACCGGCGCCCCCTTCTGGGAATCCTCTGATTCGCTGGAAAGACTCATGGAATCTCTTGAGTCATTGTCATCCTCTTCCTCGCTGGCTTGGAATTCATCCCCATCGCTCTCCATCTCCTGCCTACCCTGTCCCTCTCTCCCTGAACCCCTGACACACACTTTCTTTAATATATGCATTTTTGCAAACATTGGTTGGAGAAGTGCACCACAACATTCAGGTTAGTGCAGATTTCAAAGGGTACCTGTGTTTCAATTTGTGTACTGTATCATAAAGTGTGAATAGATTTGTCTTTAAAATGCTAATGAAATTGACTACCTTCCACCATTCCTACTGGAGACCAGTAACATCAAACCCTTCTAGTGTCCCTGTTTTCCAAGGATGTCCCAGGTTTACAGAAGCCGTCCCAGTTTCTGATTTGATCCTAGAATGTCCCGCTTTTCCTTAGGATGTCCCTATTTTATCAGAGAAATGTTGGAGGGTATGGAGTTAACCAACCCCTGAGCCATCTGAAGGCAGCCCTGTATAGGGACGTTTTTTAATGTTTAATATGTTGGAAGCTGCCCAAAGTGGCAACCGAGTCAGTTGGGTGGGGTATAAATAGTAAAATTCTTCTTACTATTATTGAATAGAACATCTTTATTTTCATCAGAGAAATGCTGAAGGGTGTTGTCAGAGCTGCTTCCAGATCCTAGCTCACAGAGGATCACGCTAGCCAGCGATCATTAAACAAAAGTCTTTATTGAGTTACAGTTTCCATTCTCAAACTGCTGCGTGCAACTCTACGTCTCATGGTTAGACCGGCGAAGCTCCGTCTGAGTCTCCGCCCCTTGTACACCAACTTAATATCCTAGCCCTGCTCCACCTTTTCCGCCTGACTGTTCTTCTCTGGGTCCCTCTGCCCCTGGGGTCTCTTCCTTCCGGGATTCCTCTGGCGCTGGCGCTGACCCCTGACTCTTCTCCCTCCTTTCGGCGGGCTTTAGGACCTGGCTCCTTTCCGGGCTGCCAACTGCGCCGCCCTCCTGTACATTTGAACTTGGCGCGCGCGCCCAGCCTTCCACCTTCCGTCTGACCGTTTCTTCGCTCCCCGATGGAGGTGTGGCCACTCCTGACTCGTGCCCTCCCCCCTGTTGTGAGCTGCCAGCGCTTGATCCCTGGCTCCCTTCCTCTTCCCTGCTCTCTGGCGGTGACGCTGGTCCCGATTTCCAACTGCTCCCCTCTGAGTCCCCTCTGGCTCTATCTTCCTGGGGCGTCCCCCTAGGCTCCCCCCTTGCCCTGGCCACTGGTGCTCCTTTCTGTGAATCTTCTGATTCACTGGAAAGACTCGGAGATCTCGGGTCGTCGTCATCACTCATCTTTTCTTCTGCCTCCTCCCCCTCGCTCTCTGTTTCCTCCCTTGCCCTTGCCTCTGCTCCTGAACCCCTGACAGGTGTGTAGCATTTCCCCGAAGAAAGCTGAAGGCATTTCAAAAGAGGAACCATTTCTTGTAATATGCCAAAAAACCAACCCCAACATCCAGTTTCACCAGCTTGTGCAGTTTTTTTTCCATTGTTTCAAAACCTGTAAAACCTGAATAAACAGTCTATTTCCCATGTTCCACTCTTGCATGTGTTCATTCCTAAGCCCTTTCTGCCCTGTTGCCTCATTTGCCTTAAAAAATCCCAGAAATTCCATATTTAAATATATTTTGGAACATATTTTGCCCCAAAGGCTGCTTTCACATGACCTATTTATTGATTATACATCCTGGTGGTTTTTTGCACAAAGTTTGTGAGCAAATTATACAGCATTATTTAGTTACTGAGCATTCATTCTGTTGATGTATTACAGTATTTTAATATATTTTTGGAAGCCACCCAGAGTGGCTGGGAGCTCAGCCAGATGAGCGGCGTATAAATAATAAATTTATTTATTTATTATTATTATTATTATTATTATTATTATTATTATTATTCATTCTGAATAGTTTTGGGGGAGCTTATATGATGTTGCAGCAAGCAATTGCTGCCCTCCATTTTCCATTGCATTTCTCTACCACTTTCTGTATTGCAAAAAGTCTGAGTTTTTGATGGTGGCAGGGGTGGGGGAGAAGAGGAAATTATTTTTTTGCACATTAATGCAAAATAAACTTTTGCCAATGTATCCACTTTGTTTCCGATTTCAATTGTCAATATAAAATGGGCTAAAAAATCTTTAAAAATTCGTATAAAATCAACCACAACACTGATTTTCTTTCTTTTGGTGCCAATCGACTCATTTTATCTAGGACTCCATGACACCTCCCCTGTCCTCCATAATCCCTCAAGCGAGGTGTCACGTACTCTCAGGAAGACCCTAATCCTGTCAAATCACTCTGCCAAGCCTTTCCTCTGGGCAATGCCAGGTGGCAGACTATGCATACATGGACCATTGTCTTCTCATCACCTGTACTCAGGATGTACTTATCTGCGCATATCTCCAGCTCTGCATATTCCCCCTCCCTCCTCCATATGTTAATCCTGTGTAACCCAACCTCTTCTTAATGTATTCATGATGTAATCTGTGTAACCCAACCTACTCTTAATGTATTCATGATGTAATCTGTGTAACCCAACCTCTTCTTAATGTATTCATGATGTAACCGTGATGTATTTTGCACTGTATCCTGGGACATGGAGGGAAGTTTTTTGTTTTTTTTTAATAATTTTTATTAAAGTTTTGAACAACAAAGAAAGAAAAGAAAAACATACACAATACATATAACAAAAACACACACACAAAAAAACAAGATTCAACAATAAAAGAACAAAAAACATAACAATTAAAAACAATATCTCTTTTCCATTTCCGTTTTTTAGTTACTTATTTTCTGGACTTCCTCATACCTCCCTCTTTTGTATTCCAATCCAAATTGTTTGTCCAGCAATTTCTTTTCCACTTTTTAATCCCAATCTTTAGCTTTAATAAGATATTGAAATATATAACTTCAACTTCTTTAAACCTGATCTTTGGTCTTAGTATCATATAACGTTAAAATTTTTCCTCTTAATGTCAAATTTCCATTTCTTTAAACATCTTTAATCCTAATCTTTAATCTTAGTCTATCATTAGCTTTAACCTGTACAGCTGGAAACCGCTTATTTTCAGTCCAACATCACTCTAACATTCTTTAATTTTGCAATGTTTCTGAAGATAGTCTTTAAATTTCTTCCAATCTTCCTCCATCGACTCTTCTCCCTGGTCACGGATTCTACCAGTCATTTCCGCCAATTCCATATAGTCCATAAGTTTCATCTGCCATTCCTCCAGCGTGGGAAGTTCTTGTGTCTTCCAATACTTTGCGATGAGTATTCTTGCTGCTGTTGTTGCATACATAAAGAAAGTTCTATCCTTTTTTAACACCATTTGGCCGACTATGCCCAGGAGAAAGGCCTCTGGTTTCTTAGGGAAGGTATATTTAAATACCTTTTTAAATTCATTATATATCATTTCCCAGAAAGCCTTAATCTTTGGGCACGTCCACCAAAGGTGAAAGAATGTACCTTCAGTTTCTTTACATTTCCAACATTTGTTATCGGGCAAGTGATAGATTTTTGCAAGCTTGACTGGGGTTATGTACCACCTGTATATCATTTTCATAATATTCTCTCTTAAGGCATTACATGCCGTAAATTTCATACCTGTGGTCCATAACTGTTCCCAGTCAGCAAACATAATATTATGTCCAACGTCCTGTGCCCATTTAATCATAGCCGATTTTACCGTTTCATCCTGAGTATTCCATTTCAGCAGCAAGTTGTACATTCTTGACAAATTCTTAGTTTTGGGTTCTAACAATTCTGTTTCTAATTTGGATCTTTCCACCTGGAAGCCAATTTTCCTGTCCAATTTAAATGCCTCCATTATCTGATAATAATGAAGCCAGTCTCGCACTTTGTTTTTATTTTTTCAAAACTCTGCAATTTCAGTCTATCTCCGTCTTGTTCCAAAATTTCCCAATATTTCGGCCATTTGACCTCCATATTGACCTTTTTCAAGGCTTTCGCTTCCATTGGTGACAGCCACCTTGGGGTTTTGTTTTCTAGCAAATCCTTATATCTTAACCAAACATTAAATAGCGCTTTCCTGACAATGTGGTTTCTAAATGCTTTATGTGCTTTGACCTTATCATACCATAGATATGCATGCCATCCAAATACATTATTAAAACCTTCCAAGTCCAAAATGTCAGTGTTTTCAAGAAGTAGCCATTCTTTCAACCAGCAAAAAGCTGCTGATTCATAGTAAAGTTTGAGGTCTGGCAGGGCAAATCCACCTCTTTCCTTTGCATCTGTTAGTATTTTAAATTTTATTCTAGGCTTCTTGCCCTGCCAGACAAATTTAGAAATATCTTTCTGCCACCTCTTGAAACAATCCATTTTGTCCACAATCTGCAAAGTTTGGAACAAAAACAACATTCTAGGCAATACATTCATTTTTATCGCAGCAATACGGCCCAGCAGTGAAAGCTTCAAATTTGACCAAATTTCTAAATCTTTTTCACTTCAGACCAGCATTTTTCATAGTTATCTTTAAATAAGTTCCCATTTTTGCTGTCATGTTAATCCCCAAATATTTAACTTTCTTAACCACTGTTAAACCTGTCTCATTCTGAAACCTCTCTCTTTCAATCGGTGTTAAATTTTTCTCTAAAACCTTGGTTTTTGACTTATTCAATTTAAATCCTGCCACTTGACCAAATTCTTGAATCAGTTCTAAAACCCTTTTAGTACTAGATTCTGGCTCCTGTAACATCAATACTAAGTCATCTGCAAATGCTCTCAATTTGTACTGTTTAGTTCCGACCTGTATACCTTTAACCGACTGGTCCCTTCTAATCATATTCAGCAAAACCTCCAGGACCGAAATAAAAAGAAGTGGGGAAATTGGGCAACCTTGTCGTGTCCCTTTTTCAATTTTAAGTTCTTCCGTCACAACATTATTTACAATTAGTTTAGCCTTTTGTTCTGAATAAATTGCACTTATACCATTCTCAAAACCTTGGCCTACCCCCATACCCTGTAGATTCTTCTTCATAAAATTCCAAGAAATGTTGTCAAAGGCTTTCTCCGCGTCTACAAATATCAACACTGCTTTAGTGTTTATATTCACTTCTAATTTTTCCAAAATATCAATTATATTCCTCAAATTGTCAGACAAATGTCTTCCTGGGAGAAAGCCCGCTTGGTCTTTGTGAATCTCTTCCATCAACACTTTTTTAAATCTCTTAGCCAGAACATCTGCAAAAATTTTGTAATCCACATTAAGTAATGATATAGGGCGGTAGTTCTTAAGCTGTGTCTTTTCAGTCTCTGTTTTTGGTACAAGTGTAATATATGCTTCTTTCCACGACTCTGGTGCTCTTTTCCCCTCCATTATTTCGTTGCAGACCTCTTTCAAAGGTTGAATTAACCATTCTTTTAAAGATCTGTAGTATCTAGAAGTCAAGCCGTCTGGTCCTGGAGATTTACCCAGTTGCATGTTTTGAATGGCACCTTCTATTTCCTGTTCGGTTATTCTATGATTCAAAATTAATTTATTTTCTTGAGATATTTTTTGTAATCCATTTGTTTTCAAAAATTGGTCTAGGTCTGTTTCTTTCAATGGCCCTTGAGTGTATAATCGTTTAAAGTACCTCTGGAAACAACTTCTGATCTCTGCAGGGTTCTGTATATTTCTTCCTTCCACTTCTAAGTTCGTAATCGTATTTAGTTTCTGTCTCTTTTTCATTTGCCATGCCAACAATTTGCCATATTTATTGGCCGACTCAAAAGTCTTTTGTCTCATTTGTTTAATTTTCCATTCTATTTCCTGATTCATCATTTTCATATATTGTACTTGATATAACTTTAACTCTCTCAAAATCTCTTGAGATTTGGGGTTTACTCTCAGTCTTTTTTCACATTCCTTTATTTTGTCCATTATTTTATCCTTCTTCTCATTTTGAGTTCTTTTCTTTATTGCATTCTGTTGTATTAAGAACCCTCTCATAACCACTTTACTTGCGTCCCAGATTACTCTTTTCTCCACGTTGGTACTGAGGTTTATCTCGAAGTAATCTCTCAGAGTTTTTTGGGCCTTCTTAAGAAATTCTTCATCTCTAAATAAGGTGTCATTCATCTTCCATCTGAAGGAGCCAGTTGGTGTTAGTCTCATTTCCATCTTAACAGCATTGTGGTCGGAGCAAATTTTCGGGCAGATTTCCACCTTTCTTGTCTTTGGTGCCATTCCTTTAGTTATCCAAATTTGGTCAATTCTTGTCCATGTCATTTTGGCTTCAGAAAAGAAAGTTCCCTCTTTAGCCATGGGGTTTCTTATTCTCCAAATGTCCACTAAATCCAAGTTGTCTGTCATGTCAAAAAAAGTTTTCGGTAGTCTACCATCCTTGGTGACTACCTGTCTTTGTGCCTTGTCCATATATGTAGATACCACTCCATTCATATCTCCCATCAAAATCATGTTATAATCCATATGGTCCATCAGGGTCTCGTGCAGCTTCTTAAAAATTCAGATTTCCGTCATTTGGTGCATAGATTCCTACTATCAAAATTTTTCTCCTTGTGTTTGAATTTCAATTGCCACAAATCTTCCTTGGTCATCTTTAAAAACAAATTTCGGTGATAATCAGTCTTTCGCATAAATCACAACCCCTCTTTTTTTAACTTTGTCCGACGAAATAAACTCCTGACCAAGTCTTTTATTTATCAACAATTTCCTGTGTAATCTTGTTTTATGTGTTTCTTGTAAACAAATTAAGTCTAATTGTTCCTTTTTTAATATATAAAATACTGATTTCCTTTTCTGAGGGGAATTCAAACCCCGACAGTTCCATGTTAGAAGTTGCAGGGCCATGATGTTATTGTTTTAATTCTCCTCCTACTGCACCTAGTGCCTGTTCCTCATCCGTCGGTGGTATCACTTTTTTCGAACGGTCTTTTGGTTCCAGAGATAGTTCTTTTTGTAGGTCTTCTCCGTGGTCTCTCCAAAATTTGTCTTTGTCGTCTTCCGATCTTATTTTCCTCTTCTTTCCTTTGTAGCTAAAAGATAGGCCTTGAGGGGTTCCCACCTAAAGTTAATACTGTTCCTTCTCAGCAGGGTAACCAAGTCTTTATAGTTTGATCTGAGATCCAGAAGGTATTTCGGAATGTCTTTAAATATTTCAACCCTTGTCCGTTGGATTTCCAGTGTCTTCTTAAAATGCTAACCCAAAATCTTATCCCTCTCTTCTTTTGTTCGAAAAGTGATCAAACAGTCTCTCACCTTCTTCTCTCCTCTTTTCCCAAGTCTAAAAGCGTTTACTATTTTGAAACTGTCTTTTACCAATTCCGGATCCCAAAAATCCAAAAATTCCTGCATGAGAATTTCAGCTAGATTGTCCTTTTCCACTTCAGGTACCGATCTGACCCGTAGATTCACTTGTTTTTCCTTTAATTCTATCATAGACAGGGTCAATTTATGGTCTTCCAATTGTTTATGCACTGATGGTATTGTCTCTTGGACCTCTTTAACCTCTGTAGCAGAAGTTGTAGCAATGTCTTTGGCCTCCTCGGCAATCTGGCGTATTGAGGCCGATTCCTCTAGTAGTTTCTGAATAGTCTCTGTATTAGTATTTACTTTCTGGCCCAAATTGTTTAAACTTGCTGTATTCTGATTAATACTTGTTGTATTTTGATTAATACTTATTGTATTTTGATCAATCTTGTCACATGCCTCTGCTACTTGTTGACTTATTCTATTTAAAGATTCATTGACCTTAGCCAAAACTTGAGCAAAGGCATCATCACTTGCCATACCTTTTACTTTTGGTTGTGCCGATGAGGCTGTTGTTGGGATTCCAGAGGTGCGTGAAGTCGAATATCTCCTTTGTAATCCTTCTTCTGTTCGGAAAACTCTACCCGACCTTGTAGCTTGTGATGTTTCCGTTTTCTCTCTACCATCTGCCATTCCTTTAGATAAAGCTCAAGGTCAGTCACGCAGTTGAATTCAAACAGTGGAAATTTCCAACAGAGCTGTGTGAGAATTCCTCAAGCCAGCTACAGTTTCAGTTATAACAAATTGTAACAATTCCAAGTTCCACTAGGGGGGACACTGTAACAGTCATAAAAGTTCTTGGATACTTTACTTTCTTTTTTTATGTCCCCCCAGTTTATTCAGGAAGATAACAGTCTATATACAGCAATAACTTAAGACCAGGAGATATATGTCCACATAGTATATCCAAATTTATATTTCCTGTGCAGGACTAGCTGTCAAAATATATTTCAAGACAGTACCTCTCTTCCTTTTTTAAGTTGCCTCTGGAGATCCTTTCCCAGGGAATTGAGCAATGGTTTAATCCCTTTTATTTCCACTTCTTTATGAAGAAATCACATCAACAATTCTCCCCCCTTTTCCTTCAATTTAAGGGGGGGGAAATCCAAGTTAGATGATTGGATTAAAATCCGCTAATACGTGCTTTTCCTAAGCTTCCGCTTTCAAGTTCAATGCTTTATTTTATCTACAAATAGAAAGAGGCAGACTTCCTTTTTGTACCTCTTTCCGTTTTCGGCCAGATTCCCAATTTGTACAGTTCCAATTACATTATATCCTACTCACGGATCGTTGATTTTCAAGTCCCAATTCGAAGGAAAAAAGGCAGCGCTCTCCGGTTAACAGCTTGCGGCTTCACACCACGAAAGAAGCAGACAGCCCACAGCACAGCGCTCCTTCCCCGCTCTGATTTCCGAGGCCCGTTGCCGGGCTTTATACCGGGTTGGGGGCGCCAAATGTGCCCGCTGGGTCCCAGGTTCACAGGCTTCCCCGCCTGTGATTTTTAAGGGTCCCCGCTGCGCCGAGCGGGATTCGACCCTGGTTTTCGTGGCGAGATTTCCTCCGATCGAGGAATCCGCCATTAACATGGAGGAAGTTTTAAAAGTTCATGTCACCCCTTCCTCAGGGTTCAATCTCGCGCGGACTTAGTCTGACGAGGCTGGGTGGCAGAGCAGCCTCGCACCCAGATTTTACTGTAACACTCCCGAGCAGAATGACCAGGAGGGAGAGCACATGCCAGTTGGGCATGTGTCTCTACCAGGGTCCTACTTGAGTGTAGGATGAACTCCTAACAATGCTCATGGGCCCAGGGATTGGGGCCACAGACCCAGTGCCAGCGGAGGGAGAACCGGGGGCTGTTTTTGTCCCGGTTGGAGTCTCCTGGAACCGGCAGCGTGAGGCAAGCCTCTTCAGAGAAGGAAGGGAGAAAAAAGCTGCGAGGAGACAGTGAGTAAAGCCTGTGCCTAAAAATGAAAGTAGGCAATTAAGGTGGCAGAAGAAGGCTTGATTTATAGCCATGTGATAAGGACAGTAAAGGTTGATCCAGCTTGGACTAAGCTGTGGAATGGATCTTTTGAAGGGTAGAATCCCAAGTCCCTGACTTACATAAAGGGAAGGTCTGATGCGGCAGGTCTGTGCCGAGAAAGTCGCCTTGATTTATGTGCCACAAAGGGCGGGAGGTGAGGGTTAGGAGGTTAGGGGGTCGGGCAGACACGGTAGCTGGGCCTGTGCAGGCTCCACGCTGCCCAAACAGTCCACCCACTGCCCCCCCCCCCAGCTGTAGGGTGGCTGAGTGGGAGGAGGCAGGCAGACTCCAGAGGTGCCGCGGTGCGCCCCACCCTTATGGGTGGCTCACTCCGCCCCTATGGGCACTGCACCCCTGAGCACACTGCTCCAGGCACCTGAGCGACTTCTTCCACTGCTGCCCCAGCCCCCTGCTTTGGCACCTGACATGCTCTACAAAGCTAAGGTAGCCCTGGAAAATAGTTTTCACCATGAGCTACTGTGGTGTGGTCCCCCCCCCCATATATATATATATAAAATCCTTTATTATTTTATTCACATAATATACATTCTTTACAACAAACAACTCCAAAATAAAATCATATGCAACAAAACCGTAAGTCTCATGTTTTCATTTGCACTGATCTCCTCTCTGATACCTTTACTTGATGTTTCTTGCTACTTTCTGCTTTCTTTATAGAATCTTTATGAAAATTTAAGTCTCTTAAATCCTATACCAATCTTTAACAATTTCAGTTAATCCCTTCACCTCCCTCCCCCACAGCCCAGTACTTCCCTCCCCCTTCTTTACCTACTATTATTTTTGTTATTGTTGCATTTTTCACTTTATTTGTTATTCCATCCTTAATATTATCCTAGCTTCTTGCGCCTTTTAAACTTTTTCATATTATTTTTTAAGCTCCAGCACCGACTGTGGTGTTAGGAGTCTTTGGGATAGCAACATTTCCCAGAAGCTGTGTGTGTCTGGCAGGGCTGAAACTAGGCTTTCTGTCACCTGGATCCAAGACCCAGTCTGGCACACACATACCTCAGATGCGTATTTGCATACGTACACATACATACAAACAAACAAACACACCTCAACACATTAAAAGATTGCATTTTCATAAGATCAGCCAAGACCCTCTGGTTTCCTTTTCAAATGCCCCCCTTGAGGCTTTTTGCCACCCACCCATTTTCTTAGTTCTGCGCAAACCCCTTCAAGGAGTTTTGACATGTAAATTAACTCCTGAGTAAGCTTCAACGAGAGTCCTTTCAATTTTCAACCTTAGCTGTTTCAACACATTCATAGTTCTGAAGGGATCCTAGAATCATAGAATTGTGAGCCAAAAGCACTGGAAAGAGCAATACTAGATATAGCAAACTTATCTTTTGGATTGCATGGTTCAGAGAAAGTGACACCACCGACAGAACAAGAACAAACACTTGGCGCAGTTGGAGGTAAAGCGAAGTAACCCCATCATGGCTCTGCAACTATTAAGTTGGAATTGTAATGGTCTCAACTCTCCTCGGAAGAGACAAAGTGTTTTCATTTACTAAAAAGGAACAATTGGACTTGATTTGTGTCAGGGAACTGACATCGGAGCCTGAGGCGGAGGGAAGGCTCTCAAATGATGCTGGAGAAGGGCCAAGCAGGGAGAGAGGCAGTTCAGCAGAGGGGGAGCAAATCAACGTTACACCAGGGATAAAGGGGGGCAGATGGGGGAATCGGCGAGAGGGCTCCAGGACTCTTCACTGGACACCAGCGGGGAGAGCACGGGTCCTCCGCTACCCACGCCCTCCCTGCGCAGAAGGCTTCCGCGCAGGGAGAGTAGGAGGAGACTTGGCGTCTGTCAGAGCTGGCTCCAGGTCCCAGCTCACAGAGGACCAACGCTAGCCGGCAGTAATGTATAAAAGTCTTTATTGAAGTACAGTTTCCATTTTCAAGCCGGAGCGCCTGCAGCTCTACGTCTAGGGGTTAGATCGGCGAAGCTCCATCTGAGTCTCCGCCCCTGTACACCAGTTTAAGATTCTAGCCTTACTCCACCTCTTACGTCTCTCCTTTCTCCTCTGGGTCCTGCTACCCCCGGGTCCCTTCCTTCCTGGATTCTTCTGACGCTGACCCCCTGACTCCTCCCCTCTTTCGGCGGGCTTTGGGACCTGGCTCCCTATCCGGGCTGCCAACTGCGCCCGCCCTCCTGTACATTTGAACCTAGCGCGCGCGCCAGCCTTCAACCTTCCTCTCGACCGTTTCCTCGCTCCCCGATGGAGGCGTGGCCAATCCTGACTCATGTCCTCCCACTGGCAGTGCGCCGCCTGATCCCGATGCCTGGGACCCCTCCCCTACTGCACTCTGGTGTGGACGCTGGTCCTGATTTCCAACTGCTGCTCTCTGAGTCCCCTCTGGCCCCTTCTTCCTGGGGTGTCCCCTCGGCACCCCCTTGCTCTGACCAAGGGAGCCCTTTCTGGGAATCTTCCGATTCGCTGGAAAGACTCAGAGACCTCGGACCGCTGTCATCGCTAACATTTCCTTCGGACTCCTCCCCCTCGCTCTCTATTTCCTCCCTTTCCTGTGCCTCTGCTCCTGAACCCCTGACAGCGTCAAACAACTTTTATGTTGGAAAAGGTTTAAGAAACGCCCACTGACGGATTCTGCTAGCGACTGAGGCAGCCACGAATTGAAGGGCTGTCCAGACAGAAAGGTTTAACAAGGCAACATAGCCAGGAGAGGCGGCAACTTACGCACGAGCAACCCCATACCCATTATAATTTGCCTACAGGAAACACACGTGATA